GGTGCGGTTTTTATCTCTTAAGGTGCGTCATTTTTAGCTTATGCTTCTTACTTCCAGACACGCGTTTTTTTTTTTTTTTTTTTTTTTTTTTTTTTTTTTTTTTTTAAATTTTCATTGATTTGAGCCGTTGATCTAGATTTGATCAACGGCTCAGATCTAACCGCACAACCGCACGGGAAGCTATAACCGCACCTGAACCCTTCCATATATATATATATATATATATATATATATATATATATATATATATATATATATATATATATATAATTGTATGGAATATATTTCAGGATTTAGGATATGCTAAGTGTAGACATATGGATATGATAGACATATTTTACACTCATATTTTAGATACATCTTTATAATATTTTTGTATTAATTATTTAATATTATTTAATAATTAATTCTTTTTATAGTTTAATAATTAATTAATGAGCTAAATATAGTACTAAATATATATATAATATATAATATATAGAATACATACTAATATATATATTACGTACTGTACTAGTGTATATATATATATATATATATATATATATATATATATATATTAATTATAAATCTACAAATAAATTAAGTATTATTTTAAGTTTGTCCAATTCATAGGAAAAAAAAAAAAAACAAATTGAAACATTGCTTCTTGTCTTCAATTCATGCCGAATGTGCAGCAAAGCAGCGGAAAAGGACTTCGTCGACTGATTCTTGCGCGAGCAGCAGCGGAGAGTTCTTCAAATAGCGCAAAAGGAGGAGATGGACGGTGCTGATGGATTTGTGTTTACTTGGAGAAGCATATTAATACTAGAAGTTTTTTATGGTAAAATGTTCATTATTTCCCCCTTTAGATTATTCTTTAAAGTTGTTATCAGTGTCCTTTTGTGGCTAATTTTTTTAGCTTGGTTTAGTAAATTGAAGCCTCGGAATTCATTATGCTGTGAGATTATTTATTTATTTTTATTAAATAATTTTTATGCATTTGAAAGTATTAAATATTCTTCTAAATTATTTGAATAGTTGTATCATTTAATTGTTAGGAGGCCTACTAGTTATTTATTTATTTGATATAATTATTTGCTATATTAGTTAATGTTGTGCTACAAATTATTCTAATATTCAGTAGCAACTGAGGTTAATTATTGACGGTTTAGTGATAATTGTTCTCAGGTAGAATATTTTCCTAAATTAAATGTAACCGCTTGTGCTTGTGTTATTTAGTTTGTCGGTTTTCCTAGTTCCTATTGCTACTATTAAATTAAATCTATAGCGCTTGTCTTAGATTATTTAGTAGTTAGGGGTAATTAAACCGCGTGTGCTTTAGTTACTTACAACTAAGGGAAACCGGAAATGAAATAATTTCACGACAAATATTCAAATGCATATTAATTACTTTTTGAATCAATGATCAGTGTTAAATTTCGTTGGTGGATTTTTACTAACCAAGGTTTTCTATTATAAGTGTTTTCAATATATTGTTTTCATTGCTTTATTTGTTTATTTACTTTGATTATCACTTTCTTACCAAACCTCTTTTCTTTTAATTTGAACACATACATTAAACTAGTTACTCCTCGTGGGATCGACCCTTATTCCCGCTACTACGTTTGTAAGGTTTTAATTTGGGAGCCTACGACAGCTCGCCAAGATACATATAGGATTACCATTGTTAGGGTACATATGTATTTTTTAGGATTAGTAGTGTCTGTACGGATAATAAATATTTAGGGAAGATATGTTTATACCCATCTGTAACATGTATCTATGTAAGTATGTATGTTAGTTGTCTAGGGAATCAATGTGCATATGTGCGTAATCATATCTGTAGGAATATATATATATATATATATATATATATATTGGTTTAGTAATTAGGAAATTAGTTATTAATATATAGTTTAGGAGTAAAGGAGAGGGCCATGAAATAATAATAGTAAACTATTCCGGAGGATTTAATGTATCAATCTAATATTAACAGGAATACCCGGAGTATCACTGTAACACCCCACTTTTTTTAATCCTTAGCCATTTGGACGAGAAGCATTTATTTGATAAGTTTTGATTAAAAAGCACGTTTTAGTATCTATTGCGATTTATTGAGAAGCCTTGCTAAGAATACGGGATTTTGGGTAGGTCCAGTGTATGGTTTCTAATTATAGTAAATGAGTTGTTTAAGCACGAGTTAATATTTTGTTTGCCTAATTCACAGTGAAAGGGACATGAAGTTATTTCTTACAGTAAATGAGCATCTAGTAGATAAGGCATTGGAGGCTTGTGGTCAAACATGCAACATGGACCAATGTCTAGAGGGATAGTTTTAAACACAAACATGCGATAAAAGTAAACTGCACTAGGAAAACCATATGCGACATGCTCAATTGAAAGAGTGTTGAAAATAATTGAGTTCGTAACCTTTTAGTACAAAAATCATGCCCGGCCCACTCAGTCACCACTTTTGAGACAACACTAAAACTTTTTGCATTTACTTTGATTGTACTCAGGTGCAATTGGCATCGTTTCGATTTTCGTTATAGACATATATTTTTGAAGAAGTATTAGTGTGCATCTATGTGAATATTGTACAATATCCACATTAATGGTTTAGGCATCTTGTTCCAAATCTTTTGCACCAAACTATTGGCATATTCTCATTCAATTCCATCAATATAATATGGATACTGTTACCTGTTAGGCTTAAATCCATTAATTCAAGTGGAGAATGGAGAGTTTCTGAATGTTGGATTCTATATTTAAATGTTGTGTATTATGACGCTCCAAGCATTAGTTAGAATCCTTCTTTTTTAAAGGAAAAACATTCCTTAGATTATTGTTTATGTCATTTTAATTAAAATTTATTCTTTTCATGTACATTTGATATAGACTGGCGTATTTTAAAATTTAACATTCTCAAAATTCTTACACTATTTAATGAAATTTCTCATTATAGGAGAACCAACTAAAAATATATATAACATTTTAAAAAGAACGTTACAAGAATCATGTAATCAATTGAGAGATTGTTGACAAAAATCAAATTCATAATCTTTTGGTACGAGAATCATGTTTCACACACATAACACCCCTTTTGGGACCCAAATATATATTTTTGGCAAAGGTGTTTGTGTGCATCAATAATGTAAATATTGTACAACATCACCGTGACTAGTTTAGGCACTTGTTCCATATTTTTTTGCACCAAACTATTGGCATATTTTTATTCCATCGCCATAGATTTTCTTAGGCTTAAAGCTTAATCCATTAAATCAAGTTGAGAATGGATCGGAGAGTTTCTAAATGTTCGATTCATTGTTTAAATGTTGTGTGTTATAATGCACCAAGTATTATTGGTTAGATTCTTATTTAATTTATGTCATTTTAACTAATATTAATTATTTTCACGTGACGTTGGATTTAAGTAGACATATTTTTAATTAAATTTAACATTCTCAAAAATCTTATATTATTTAATTTAATATACTGTATACATTATGATCGAAATGTACTTTATGTTTGTAAAATATATTTTCCCTTATGTACCTTTTATAAAAGCAAAAAATATAACTTTAGAAAGCACACATCATTGTAAAATTTACTAACATTCCGATACTTGCATTATTAGAGTTATCTAATGTAACTTGAACTGATATCTTCTCCCAAAAGGTTGAATCCCCAATCTAAGGGTTCCACACACCCCGACCCGACAGAGCATTTAGGAGGATGTAAATCACGGTGACTCAATAGTTTAGCGTACAGGGCCAAATGCCGGTGCGCACAAGGAATCTGCCCACTTCAACTGATATCTTGATGACACATTTGGTCACTTTTGTTCGAAATTAAACAGAAACGACGGCCAAGGACCTTGTCGTCTAGTGGAATTAAGTTGCTCTCCCATATGGGAGGTAATGGGTTCAAGTCTTAGTGGAGGCAGTCTTAGTGGAGGCAGTATTAAGAAAGTAGTTGAACAGATACTGCATTGTAAGTTGTAACAGAGTAAATAGAATTTCAAAAAAAAACGAAAAACAAAAACTAAAGTACACACCCCTCTTGACTTGACACAACTTGATTTGCACCCCCTGCCTCCTCCCCCCACCCCACCACCAAAAAAAAAAAAAAAACTATTAAACTGTTGTCACTTTTAGTGAAGAGATCAAATTGAAACAAAAACAACTCTACACATCTCTCCTAAATTCACCTTATTGATACAATACTCATAATAAAATATGATGAATTTTAAATTTTATTAAAAGCGAAAAAACGTAATATGCATAAATTAAAATTGCAATTAACAATTCTTTTTATAAATTCAATATAATGACCAAGTGGATTGGCATGACTCTTTGCATGATGATAATTGATCTTACTATTAAGTAGTATTTATTTTTTTTAATAAAGTAATATATGATGTGCTAAAATTGCTAATTATGCTAAAGTAATATTCTGGTGGAAATCAGCCATTATTCTAGTTTTAATTTCTTTTTCACATATATTATGCTTATTTCATTTACTCCGTAATAGCTTTTCTTGCTCCAATACCTTCAAGAAACAATGATTTATATGGATAAAAAGGAATAAAAAAAAAATTATGAGACTAGTTTTAGGTTGAAAATTAGAAAAAAAAAAAAATAAAATCAAGCATCTGGCCTGGGTGTTTGGTATAGATTCACACTTGCAAACCTAACATTCTTGAGAATCTTAGGGTGTTTTTTTTAATAGGTAAGATCGATATCAGAGTTGTGATATATAGAGTAATTTATTTTACTGTTTTCCTTAAAAACTTTTTTAAATAAATTTAAAATGAAAATATGTTTTCCCTCTTGATGTAGCTTCCATTTACTTGTAAGTGTTATGAATTGTCTGACTCTACCACTAACTAAAAATAAATTTGGCTATCCAATTAGATAATGTTACATCACGATGAAGAGATTTGAGAGGAAATATATGAGGGGTGTGTATAATTACTTATTTAAAAATCATCACTCGCATGTTTTTTTTTTCGGCATTTATTCAAAATGTGATGAAATAGAGTTTGGTGCGACAGAGTCCCAGTACATAACAGAAGTCTGAGTAAAAGCAGTAGAAGCTAAGCTATAAGCTAGGTAATTATCTGATCTAGGAATAAAACTGACTAAACAATACTCAAAGGAAGCAATTCGAGTTCTGCAGGTATCAAAAGCATAACCGATATATGATCGGAATAGAGTAGTTGCAGATGATAGGTACTGTTGTAGTGTTAAACAATCCGTGAATAGCTCTATAGATCGTACTCCACGGTCCCATAACCACGACAAAACTTCATTGCATGCAAATGCCTCGGTCATAAGTGGAGATGAGCAATCCGGTAAGGGAGCATTGAAAGCCGAGACATACCTCCCATCCTCGCTGAGAATAATCGCCCCAATGGTAGCCTTGCCTGTCTCGTGCCAATACCCAGCGTCGAGCAAGCATCGTCTCCGTCCTGTAGCAGCTACGGCCGAGAGCTCCAGCAATGCGGCCGTGTGTGCGGCAGCAGTATTTTGCGGCGACAATGTGGCTGTAGCTTCCAGGTGTACAGGAGTCTCGTCTGCAATATAATGGCCTCGGTCAGGGTGTACCTGACGCCATGCATGCATGACTGCTATGGCTTCGGCGGCTATAACCCTCCGTCGTCGTGGTAGACATGCATCCCATACCGCTCCGTTTCTTGCCTTCCAAATATAATATAAGATTGCAGCTGCATAGATAATCCCATTAGTGTCTAGGCTATTCAAGAGATCACTAAACCAAGCATGAAAAATATTTGTCACATTTAAGGGGATTGGAAGGTGGGATTGAGTCCAAATAGAATTGGCATAATCACACATGACTAGAGAATGCATAGTGTCTTCATTCATGATCCCACACATGGCACAAGTATGATCAATTTCCACCATCTTTATAATCAAATTTTTTGTGGTGGGGAGGATATCATTCAAAGCTCTCCACAATAAGGTTTTCCATTTGGGGGATCTTGAGCCTCCTTAGGCTGAGCCATTTATCAAAATTGCCTGTCGTATCAACATAATTCCCAACAATGCGCCTGTAGCCACTTTTAACTGTGTAGCTACCCTTTAGATCTCCATGTCAGTACCAAGTATCCTCGTAGTCTGGTGATACTGGTATTTTTAAAATACGAGCTACATCAATGGGGATTAAAATATCAGCCAGAATATCTTGGTCCCAGGTCCCAGTTTCCTGGTCCATCAATCCCATCACAGTCACGTTAGCCAATTGGGATGGTCTTTCAGTGTGTATCATTGGATCCTGCTCATCTTGGAGCCATGGGTGGTCCCAAATGAGAGTAGATTCCCTATTCCCAATTCTTCGTTTGACTCCACCACAAACCATCTCTTGTACTGCCATAATACTGCGCCAACTGAAACTGGGGTTATTTCATAAGCATGCATTAAAAAAAGTTCCCATGGGTTAGTATCTGGCTTTATACACTCTTGAGACCAGGGAATCAGGTTTAGTAAGGAAAAGCGATGCCTGTTTACCCAACATTGCTAGGTTAAAAACACGTAGTTCCTTAAAACCTAAACCTCCATGTTTCATTGGGATGCATAATTTATCCCATGCTTTCCAGTGAATGCCACGATCAGTTCCAGATCCCCACCAGTAAGGGTTCATGGTCCGCTCAATAGCTGTACAAACTGCCACAGGTAGTAAAAAAATACTCATTGAGAAAGTAGGCATAGATTGAGAGACACTTTTCAACAAGACTTCCTTACCAGCCTGTGATAGTAATTTCTTATTCCACGAACCAATTCTCTACCTGATTTTATCCTCAATTTATGAGATTGCTGCCTTTCTATATCTCCCCACCAAGGAGGGAAAACCCAAATATTTGCCAAAATTAGGAGTCTGGACAACCCCACGGGTCGAGATAACTGGCAAACTACGAGAGCCATTTAATAAAACATTATAAGAAACTGTGGTAACACATAGCATAATAAGGTCCACCCACCTACTATCAAACCCCAATGCTAGGAGCATGTTACGTAGAAAAGTCCACTCTATGCGGTCATAAGCCTTTGCCATGTCCAACTTTAAAGGCCCCCATCCAGCTATTCCACACTGTTTCCTATTTAAAAACTGACCAACCTCCGCAGCTATTAGAATATTATCAGTGATTAGTCTGTCAGGTATAAAAGCACTCTATGTATCAGATATGATCTCCTCTATTAATGGCTTCATTCTGGTTGTAATCATTTTGGCCATAATCCTGTAAATCACATTACTTAATGCTATAGGCCTAAGATCTGAGACCAATTCTGAGATATTCTTCTTAGGGATCAAAACAATATCTATATCATTTAAATTAGCTAGGAAGGAACGAGTATTAAGACAATTCACAATGAAATTCGACACATCCCCACCCACAACATCCCAGAAATGCTGATAAAAACCCAGATTCATCCCATCCGGGCCAGGTGCCTTATCCGAAAACATTGCAAAAAGTGCAGATTGTACCTCCATAGTCTCAAAAGGGCGCAACAATACCTCATTTTGTGTCTGCGTTACCCGTGGCAAAATACTCTCATAAAAATTCCCATCATCCTCATGATGGCTTGAGCAGAATATATTACGATAATAATCCAGAATAACATTCCTCATGGCCTCCCCCTCCACCCAATCCCCACAATCCAGAATAACTTTTCCGAAGATTCAGAATCCCAAGGAAAAGAGCAGAATGATCAGAAGTTCGGGTTAATATATTCAACACACTAGCTTCCTTCACAGCTTCATGCCACCTCTGAGTAACCAACACTTTGTCCAATCTCTCTTCAATCCAGTCCACCGTTCCTTGCCCCCTTTCCCATGTATACGGATACCCCGACATTAGCAATTGGGACAAAGCACAATCCTCAATAGTGTCCCCAAAGCCACGTAGAAGGCTATCTGGATGGGGATTCCCACCCCGCTTCTCATGTTGAAAAAGGAGATCGTTAAAATTTCCTATGACAACATAAGGGAGCTCAGATCTGTGAGACAGTGATTTGATGAGCTCCCAAGAGTCACTTCGCCTCCTTCGCTCAGGAAAGCCATAATAACCTGTCATTCTCCATTTATCAAAATCAGGGATGCTTACTTCCACATCTACATGATTTTTTGAATAGCTTAACAATCTTGCCGTATTATTAATCTTCCATAATAATGCCAATCCGCCACTTAGTCCAATATTGTCAACATAAAAGAGGCCATCAAAACCAAGTTTCACTCGGAGTCGTTCAGCATGATCTCGGCCAACCCTGGTCTCTATTAAAAATACAAAATCGGGTTTCTTACGGGACACCACAATTTCCCGAACTATTCACGGATTACCCAAGCCATAATAGTTCCAGCATAGAGTACTCATGATGATGGGCGGGACTGGGAACCAGTACCCACCATATACAAGTTTTTTGAGAGATCAACCATAGTAACATCTCCACTCCCCTGTCTTCTAGTACTCCCAACATCCCCCTCACGACGGCATTTCGCTACTGCCGCCATAGGGCCTTTGGATTCACGGTTCACATCCGACACACCCCGCAATTCCACCGTCGATGAACTACCCCCGCCATCATAACCGGCCACACCGTCCGCCACACTGCCGTCCGACGACACAAGCCATCCTTCCTTAACCGCTCTCGGCCATCGGCTAGAACCCGCCCGTAAGTTTGCCGAAAACGGGTACTCCTCCACCGGGATGGAAGCATTCCGTGCATGGGTGAAAAACTTGTAGAGATGTCCTAGCAACCCGCAATAAAAGAAGAAATTATGTAGTTGTTCATATTTGAACAAGACCCAACAAGTTGATTTGTCGCGTTTAACAAACTTCATACGTCTCTTGATAGCTTTTTCAACAGGAATAGCCACCCAAATACGATATAACGCCCTCCACGGAACATTGGCAAAATGGTCATTCCTCTTTACAAAGGTGCCTAGGAAATTACCGATTTGCTCGAGGATCTTATCAGAAGTATGACCCATAGGTAAGCCGTGAACCTGAACCCACATGTCTATCGTATCCAACACCACATCCTCTGGCAGCATGCCATCAACTACCTGTTTACAAACTAGGGTTGCATTCTCGTATGCCCAGGGTCCATCCTCCAAAACACGTTCCATGTCCGTCTTATGACAGAAGACGAAGAGAAACAAATGCGATTGGATCTTCGTAACCTGAACACCCTGAACCGGTTGCCATACTGACGCCAAGACCTCACGCATGAACTCGACTTTCACTAACTTCCGTGTCAAGAAATGGTCGACTAGCGACCATGTAACACCCCTAAAATTTAAAACTTTGAATGCTTATGAAATAAAGGCAATACTGTCATTAAACCTCGAAACAGAGCATAACTAAACATAAGTGTTTGGGGTGCTATGCCACATCTGAGCCGGAGGACTCAGATGCACAGGCTGTACTATCTAAATATCCTCAAAATAGTGTCAATACATCATCATGGTACGCAGTCCGATAAGGAAACTAACTAACTAAGCTTCGGGTCCTCTAGCGTGCTCCGGAGCTACTCAGCTGTGCCTGAAAGCCAAATATATCTGTTCAGCGAATAATGCTGGTAACCCACTCCAACGCGTTAAAATACAATATAGGTATATATATATATATATATATATATATATATATATATATATATATATATATATATATATATATATATATATATATATATATATATATATATATATATATATATATATATATATATATATATATATATATATATTGTAACACCCCGTGTTACGACCTCTAAACCAATTAATTATTTAATCATTTACCCTAAAAAGAGAATTAAATCCCATTAATTAATTAGGGAGGGTCCACCATAGTCCATGGACCCTTGCCCCTAAAACCAACTCCTTAATCCTATAAGGAATAGAATTAGCAAACCCATACGATTTAGACCCTAATTGGGACTCTTAGATATATAAATAGGGGGCATAGGAGGCACCTAGAACCCACACCACAATTACTTTCACCACACAAGAATTCCCAAGAATCCCTGTAGGAGAAATCAAGAAAGAAGGGATCTTAAAGAAAGACCCTTCATAGCCAAGGAATTTAATTAAGGCTAAGAGGTAACCCATGTCTCAACAAAACCTATTTTCTTTGCTATAATCTCCATCTTTGGCTCCTTCTATATGCTTGTATCTTGATGAAATGTTCTATGATAATTATGATATGATCTTGATGATTGATGAGATGCTTTTATGTGTGATCTTGATGATCTTGATGTTGATAAGAGGGTCTTGATGATTGTGTGAAGTTCTTGATAAATCTTGATGTTTCTTGATATTAAAGATGAACTATGATCTTGATGGTTTGAATGGGATTAGAGCCCTAGGTTAAATTGGAAATTTTATATTGTGGTGTTCTTGGTGAATATTTGGGTGGGAATTCGCATGTTCGGGTGTTGATTATGTTTAGAAGTCATGATAGGTTGTGCTCAATGTGATTCTTGGTTTTGATCCGTTATTTGACTACGTGGTGTCGTCGTTTGCGTTTAAAAGTGTTCCAGTATGGTTCCGGGTTCCACAAAGGATCCCGGGACCCAAGTATGGAAAAAGAGTCAGTGGGGGTAGGGGGACCCGCCACCTACCCGCTGCCCGAAGTTACGCCGCCGGCAGCGGGCAGCCGGCGGGTAGACGACTACCCGCCGGGCACCCGCTGCCCGGAGGTTCATCGCTGGCGGGCAGCCGGGGCCACCCGCCGGCCACTCGCTGGATATTTCCCACTTTGGGACTTTGGCTTCCCCGTTTGATGTTCCCCAACCCTCGTGGTGTCCCAACGGACTCCGTTTGTCGTGCCTGAGTCTAGTTTGATGTTTCGGGTACCGTTCGTAGGATGAAAGAGTCTCGTGTATTGCATGCTAGTTGAATCAGTAAC